GGGATTCATCATCAGAGCAGGGCTCAATCTGGTATTCTGGAGATGGTGGTTCTGGCTGGGTCTCAGCTATGTAGGTGTCATAGTAGGCTTGGCTGGGGACCTCAAGTCCATCAGTCAACGAATCCTCCACATGGTCTTCGGTTTGCTCCGGCATGGTGCTGGCGCAGCTCTCATCAGTATCAGGGTCACCATCCTCAATGGCCAAGAACGTTGCTGCCGTGGGGTCATCATGATCAGTCTCAGCATAGGGATCCTCAACAGCGGCCCCATCATTCTCAGCAGGGTTGCCCCAAGCGAAGTCAAAGATATCCCAAATCTTGTTCAAAGCAGGGTCCTTGATGGCAGTGCGGGGGAAATCATGCCAACACTACCAATAAATGAAGAATTGTCGATTGTCGGTGTATGGTAAAACCATGCCAAACCCTGTAAGTTCAATTTTGTTTGATATAACATTTTCTCTCCTATGTACAATATGGGTTGAACGGTATTCCCATGAGCAATAACCGGTGTGAAGTTGTTACCCGGCATTGGGTTTTGAATCAAGCCAGGGCTGTTTATGTTCCAACTCATTGGGGGTGAATGGAGCTCAAGTTGTATTTCCCAAACATCAGACTTTGCTAAACAGAAGCTCAAGTTACACGGGGTTTGGCAGATCCAGCGAGCCATCGCCTCACCAGATGGCTGAACAATCTCTTCAGCCCCCAGCCATCCAAATTGCACGTGTTGGGGTCTTCTTCGAGCGACATCACCTTCCTCCAGTTGTCCACCTAAGGGCTGTGAAAGACTTCGCTTTTATCTTGGGATATCTTGGGTACAGCCTTCACACCCTGTAATGATTGAATTTTTGGATCAGAAGTAAGTGCCTTCCTTGGCTACCCCTTATTGGAATAAGTATTAAATCCAACCCATGCATTATTTGAATGCCTCCCCACAAATGGTGATGACTGATGACTCATAATCAACTAGTTCAATATAGTTTAAATTGTTTTGCTTTCCTTAAAACCCCAAGCCTCATTTCTCAATGGCCCAATTGGGATACTGGATGGTTTGTCGGAACGCTGCACCCACCACGTTGCAACCTCTTCCAACACCCTAGCGTTGAGGCTGCAGGCTTTCATGCTAGCCAAACCCATAGACTTAGGGTTTGGCCAACAAGTCAACCGGCTATTCTGCCGGCCACGGTTTCGAATGGCTGAATCGGCTTCCCAGATCTCAGCTAGTGAATCCCCCATGGCAGACAGGAGAAGACAAGCAAATTTATTGGGATCCTTAAGGCCTCCAAGTACCTTGAGCAACATTATGAAGGTAATGGGCGAACTGCAGTGAACCAAAACGATGCAGGCTACCCAATGGTAGATCAACCTAGGTTAAACCCAGCGGTTTGTTATGATAAGTTGGGCTTTGTTTATTATTATGTAAACCCACATCAGTAAATAGATTCTATCTAACAAACAGATCCAAATGCAATGGTGCCCCTTCCCAGCTGGGTCCTTCAAGTTGAAAGTCCACTGGGTTGCCCATTGCAGCTGTACCTGCTGAGGCTGGGAAGTTCGTCCCTGCCAGAGCTGAGCGAGAAGATGAAAAACAATTTGAAACAAGGGGGGGCGCACTTGGTGATCTCCAGGGAGATGGAAGGCAAATCAGTGGATAGACTAGAGCCAAGATAAGATGGCAACATGATGGATTGTTAAGATATACTAAGGTGATCACAAAACCCTTCAAAACACTAAAAACATCAAAATCGCTCGAAAGCATAGAAGATCGCTGCCAGGTGAAAAGAACGATTATTTCTGAAACAACCAAAAAAAAACATCAGTTGGAAGACCCAGGTATATTTTATTATCTTGCAGTTGTTGTATTGCCACCCAACGACCTGCGGAACTCTGATTGTTGCGGATGGAGACTGTACTTTCTGGATCCGTGATGTCAACCGGACTTCCAAACCAACCATTTCCGCTGCAGGTCCAGTTTGACTGCTGGAGCACACAACCGAAATTGACTGCTGCCCAAGAAATGCTGGATGTCTGTCCCAAGGAGGCAGCATATGCGCCCGGGACAAACACCCATCGTAGCTGCTGCGCTTGAAGGTCAAGCGGAGGACTGCAATTTGATCTACGCATGGAAAGTCCTAGCAGGTCCTAGCACAGGTAAGCTGATCGCCCAACAGATTTTTGTAGGAGATTCGGGTAGTCTTGCCATATCCTCCAAATTTTCCAATTTCTCTTTTCAGCATTTGATAATCAAACATTGGTTGACATTGGTTGCTGGAAAAGATGTTTTCCCAGCTAGAAACATCCATTGAGTTCGGGGATTTCCCAGCTAGCCACGTTTGATTTACACCAGAGTGTAATCCTTATATACATCTCCATTGTATCCATTATTTGTCAAGTTTATCCCATGTTTATCCCATGATTTCATTCAATTTCCGAAGTCATCTCCGTTGATTCATAGTTTACCAACCAGATTGGTGTTCCGTCAGTATATCATGAGTCATAAAATGTCATAAATATATTTCCAAGTAAATCAGTTTAAATCAGTATATCCCCATGATATTCCCAGGATATATCCCGTTCATGGCTGGTGATTTCTTCCCCATTCAGCAACCAACAAGGCGTCGGCTTCGACCTCGTGCCAAGGGATGGAACCAGGCGGTTTCCTGAAGGGATAATACCCCAATAGCTGGATAAAGTGGTTAATTTGGTGGTACCCCTATTTTAGGAAACCCCCATATGATTAAGATAGTTTGAAAAATGTGATTTGATTGTTATTTAGTGGTGCCAACGGGATTTGATGGGGATTTATATAGGTGGATTTAATATGATTTAATAGGATATAATGGTTCTTACGGCCAATTTTGGATGATTGAATGGTAATTATTTATGAAAACCACCATTTTTGAATAGGTAAATCATCATGAATCATCGAACTAAATGGGCGATTTTTGTATAAACAGAGGGTCACCATGGTTGTTTCAATACTAAGCCATGGTCCAATCAGTTGGAGTTGGGGATACCCCCATGACTTAGGACACCTCCAAATGGATTCAATTACACTCGGGGTAAACATACAAAAAACTATTGAAAATTGCCATTTATGGCTGATTTACCCATTTAAAAACATGTGATTTTCCATCGTTGTTTGCAAACATTTACCAAGCCGGGTAGGGTCTTTAGATGGTATCTTGGGGTAAACGTTTACATAGACGTGGAAGCCATGGCCATCTATTTTGGTTTACTGGAGGGTATGAACTAGGACTTATGGTAGATATGTCCAACTAGTGAATATTTGATGGGGTTACAAATCAACTTTTAACATGTTTCAAGACTTGGTGATGAAACAACAAAATAGTTTCAATGAGGTTGTTTTGACATGTTGTTGCCATCAAAGCAGGTGATTTATCAATAAGACCTTGGGTTTTTTCATAGTGGTTTAACCGTCAAGAATCGTGCTTTCACCATGGAACATATGGTGTAACACGACAAGTTGCAACAACGGTCGGGGAGTGTTTACTATTGGGTTTACGCATTAACCACCAAACATTGGGATTTAACATACTGTGGATGGAAGAAATCCAGCAGTTGGCAACTATTGGTAACAAAGAAACATTGGGAACAGGGGAATTATTATGGGATAAACTTAAACCATCAGTGTTACTGGATTTCATCCATCCACAGTAGCCGATTTAACCTGAACCAACAAACACTGGGCTGCATAAACATGGATTGAACTAACACGGGCAACTTGGCCAACTTAAAAGTTGGGAAACACAAAAGCAGTTGTCACCACATGGTTTTTCTATATGGAGTGTACCGGTATACCGAAAATTAGACTTCGGAAGAAAATTTTGAAAATAAACCGCAGCTTTTTGGCATACCCAGTTTTCAATCAGACCCATTTGTTAATATGTATATATACGTGCATATATATATACATAGTTTGGTTTATCATGATTTATCCTACACATTGATGGCTTATCATTCCGTTCATTAAATATTAAGCATGTAGCAACTGGGATGGACATAGTACTGAATCTAAGGTCGAAACATTTGAGTGGCATCCGGTTTCTTCTGTATTCATGGTCCTTTGTTTGGTGTTGCAGTTCCAGTTAATTACTGTTTTTGTTTTCAGTAGTCGTGTTTTTTTACCATCATTAAGGAGATTAAAATCAACTTGTGGATAGAATCACTATAGTGAGAATATAATTATCGAATATTATGGATTTAATTCCCATGTAACCTTGACAAGTTAGATAAGTAGTTCCTGGGGGAACTTGGCCACGGGTAGCCACCAGCTGCTCCACAGAATACCTTCGAAATCTCCTGCAGCCTGGGGACTTCTATGATGAGTCGAGGCTTCTATTGGTAGCCTTTCAATTGTTTGGTTATACTTTGCAACTTATCACAGAGCCCACCACCCCCCCCAGCAAAACCCCCCCCCCAGAAGTATGGTAAGGTATGGATAAGGATGAAACGGCTGATAAGGGCCAATCAGTGTTGTAACACATTCTTAATAAATGCTTATTAGCGATTTGATGGTTTTTCCCAATAAAATTGAAATTTCACTATTAGAACCTTATTAAGAAAAATCTTGTTTTGGGGGGTGTTGTCCAACCAACAAGACAAAAAACGGTATTAAACCTTTAATAAGAATAACGCATTCCAAAACCAATTTTAGCACCAACAAATCACACAACCTTAATAACAGTTTATTAAGGAACTCTGATTTCTGACACTGCTCATGTGCGTTTGACAAAATATGGGAGTTGGACAGAATTCGAAAGGTTTGCTGTTTCTGGTTCAGAGAGTTGCAATGAGCAACCAAGCTCAGCTATTTTATCGATTTTGAAACCAGATCTTAGGAGTTCACCATTGCGCCCCCAGAATCAGGATATGGACATGATTACATGATCAATAGCGTGCGAGAACCTGCAACCAATGCATGTCCTTCAACCAAATCAAACAACAAGATGGAGTAGATTGAAATGTTTTCTCAAAGCTCTAATGCCGCTGTTGGTGAGAGAACTCCAGATGGAAATCGGCGGCTGCCGCATCACCCTGTGGCAGCAAGAGGGTCAGCAGATTTGGTGGACCATCAAAGATGTTCTGCGGCTGCTCTGGAATGCTGAATCAGACGCGCTCAGAGACAGGTGGCGTGATTCTCGGCTTTTTGGGGAACTGTGTTGCCGTTGCTTGAAGCACTGGTTCATATCGCATTTTTTTCTAATATTAAAAGATCAACCACCTCTTGAAGCATTGTTCTTATGAAGGCCTTATTAGCAAAACAGGTTATCAAACACTTTTTTTGACGCCATCACTGCCTTCACAACACCAAATGAGGTCTTATTAAGCAAAACTTGTATTTTAAGTCCAAAAAAGCAAAAAGGCTCACGGAGAACAGCCACCGTTGATTGGTTTGGATTGGTTTGATTTTTCGTTTTTTTTTTCCAATTTAGGTTTGGGTTGTTTTTTCTTTTTGTTTTTTTGGTTTTGGTTTTTTCTTGTTTTTGTGTCGTTTTGTCTAATTTGGGTTTGGGTTGGGTTTTGTGTTTTTTTTTGTGTTGTTTGCTTTGTTTTGTTTTTCTTTGTTTGTTTGTGTTTTTTTTCTAATTTAGTTTTGGTTTGTTTGTTTTTCAAATTTAGGTTTGGATTGTTTTTTTTCTCCTGTTTTTTTCTAATATTAACAGATCAACCTCTTGAAACATGTTGTCTTATTAAGGCCTTATTAGCAAAACAGGTTCTCAAACACCTTTTTTGACGCCATAATTATTAATTGCCTTGGCCTTCACACCAAATAAGGTCTTATTAAGGAAAACCTGTTTTTTAGGCCGAAAAAACCGCACTTCCTTATTAAGCATCTATTGCGCTTCCGGGGGGGGGTTTTGCTGGGGGGGGTGGTGGGGTCTGTGAACTTAGCAATAGAATGGTTGCAGCATGTTTAATATACGTAGCTTTAACAATCGGACCAGAATAGAATGTTCGTGATTTCTAGTTTGGTTAAAATTCCATGGTCCAATGGTGCCATAGAAATCACCCCTGGCCGCCGAAGTTGGGGCCCACCAGCACTGCCAGGAGATCCTCTGCAGCAAGGGCGAAGGCCAAACCGCGTCCGGCTGTGAAAGTGGAGAATTAACCATCAACGATGGGGGTATACTGGGAATATCATGAGATACATATTATATATACATACAGTAATTATATATATATATATATATATATTGTTGATATATATATATATATTTATTTATTTATTTACTGATTTAATGATGATTCAATGATTTAACCCTCGAACTTGGCTGGGAAATCCCCTTCACTACATGGAGCTTTCACAACGAGAAATTCCATAGGAACAGAAGCGAGCTCACCATGGGGGATTTACCTGCGGGGCCATGTTTGATTACCAGGAGGTGCTGCAGTTTCTATGATCACCAAGTATTCCAAGTTACCCATAGGTCCAGTCTTCATTTGGAGTTATGAACTTATGAACTATGACATGCGGATGTGTGTTCTTTATATCCTACTATGATGTGTGATCCCCAATTCTTAGTGATGCTTACACATATACTAGCAAATTACATAAATCATATTAGTATTTTACCTATTGTATTGTTTTAATATACAGTATCAGTATGACATATATATATAATTATAGATATGTAATGATACATATATATATATAGATATTAGATAGATAGATAGATAGATAGATAGATGGATAGGATAGGATAGGATAGGACAGGATAGGATAGGATAGATGAGCTGGGATGAGATGAGATGAGATTAGATTAGATTAGATAGATTAGATTAGATTAGTTTAGATTAGATTAGATTAGATTGGATTGGATAGATTAGATAGATTATATAGATATAGATAGATAGATTAAATTAGATTAGATTAGATTAGATAGATAGATATAGGCCTGAACTCTCCAACCCATGCGTGACTTCACCAAAGTGTGAAAAACCCAAGCGGATTGTCCCTGCAACCATACAAACCCAAGATACTGAGTTAGTGATGCATTCTATGTTTTCTTTGCGTCATGTTATTGTTGTCGCACCAGTCCAGATTGATCCCCAGACCCACTACAGTACATGTTGCAACTATGATGAGACGTCCTATCGTAGGTGTCATATATTGGCGTGTGATGATGAATTTGATGCACCTCCACACCTGTTTCTTGTTGTTCTGGAATGATCCTTAAACTCATTCCGTAGATGTCGAGTAAAACTGTTGGATTTCACCCTTCAAACAAAGAACAGGTTTCATTGCATGTGTAAGCCTATACCATCCATTTGAGATCCATTTGAGATCACTTCTCTCAGCTAATTTCGAGGGATCATGCTGACTTGCCCAGCCGCGACCCCCGGCCTTCGCTGCACCAGTCTCGCGATTTAGCATCGCCCGAGGGCAGAAATGAGACTTGGCGGAGTCGAATAACGGATTTTTAGTTGACATGTTCGGCGTTCAGTGTCTTTGGTGGGAAAAAGGATGACGACGTCAACGACCTTTGACATTTTCAGGATTCAGTTTATCATAGTTTAACCCTTTTGGAAGGTTGATCATTTTGACCCATCCCCTTGAAATTTGAACTGACTGGAAATCGCATAGTTACATATACAGTCTGACCATGTTTGAGACTATGCGTGTTTGGAGGATTTTCCGGCTTGCAAGGTTGATCTTCGGAGATTTCCAGAGAAAACGTTGCACTTTTCAAGATGGCAACATAGCATGTATTTGTTCGTTCTGCATGTTGTTTTGTTGGAAGCCGGAAGATCAGCGAGTTGTGGAATTTCTGAGGATACAACTTATATGTAAATTCCAAAGATTCCAGCGATTCTTTCTTGATGGGTCACCAGATCAGAACACCCGGATGGTCCGTGGAGGCACGTTGGATGTCAGCACATCCCAAGGCGGCCCTCTTTGATCAATTGGACACCAACGGCGATGACGAAGTGAACCTCCAGGAATTTCAAGCTGCACAGGTTCGAGACCTGGTGGCGCTTCTCCCCCCTATACAGCCCTTAGTACCAGTATCCCAGTTATGGAATACCCCAGTCATTGTTTTATGATATCAATGATTATATGGTTCATATATGGTTCATAAAGAACTTACTAAGTATATCTCTATGCGAGTGTTAGGGTTCTCCATGTGGGAAAACGATGCAACCAGATTTACCTTGTTTTCCGGGTTCTGAATGAAGAGATTCGAAGTCTGATACTTTGACAATTCTTACCATGCACATATTTGGGTAATTTTGGGTAAAAAAAAATAATCCCCTATTTTGCAGGGTACCTAAGGTTGGCAACACAACTCTGTTTTGCGTTTCTTCACAGAGTCCACGCAATCAGAAGCAACCAGTTTGGGCCGGGCTCTTGGGGAGTAGCCCAAAAAAGTTCAACACCTCAGGAGTCCAGATGCGGCTTTGTCAGATTCATGACCGAGATCTGCAAATGCATTGGAATGTGGGATTTTCCATGGGTTTTCTCAAGTTGTATTGATTACATTTGATTACTGTATACCTATAACTTATATATGTATACTTAAGTCATCTTAAACCCATCTTAAAACCATGGATTTTGCATGGCTTCCATAGATTTTCCATGGCTTCCATAGATTTTTGGGGGATCCCCACCAAGTGTTTTTCGGAGCCTTATTTGGCCGCGGCAGGTTGCCACGGGACAGCGAAAGGTGGATCTCTTTGATGAGTTGGATTCCAACTTGGATGGTCGGGTCTGATGCTCGAGTGGAGTGTTCTGTGGTTGGATCCTCCATGTGAATCAGTAGGGCAGCTTGCTGTATCTTAATGTGTCCTTTAAGGATCTTTGGCTTTCAAGTTTCGAATTCCGAAGATGGGTTTGTCGCACAGTAGGATCAATCATCCCTTTTAGCAACTGGTTGGTAGCCAGAATTACAAGACATTCATAAGTGCTATAACCCATTGAATGAACACTTGCTAACCAGGGAGTAGGGTACCCGCAAAAACCAATGGTTTCTCACGGTTTAAACCGTTTTCCAAGGTCACCCGTGAGGAGTTTGCTGCAGTGACGGCTGGGGCGGCCCAGTGACTAAAAATACCCTGGTTGATTGGTTTAGGGACTTAAGCTACATTGAGCTACCGAATTCATTGGGGATTGATCAGACAAGACTTTCTTGGTCAAAATAAAGTCAGCTGGTTGGTGGTTTGGAACATTTTTTTATTTTTCCATAATATATGGGAATAATCATCCTAATTGACGAACTCATATGTTTCAGAGGGGTAGGTATACCACCAACCAGTCAGGTTTGTGGTTGACAATTTGGTGGATTCAACTTGAGAAACCATGGGGCTGCCTAGAGGCTGCGGCTTAGGATCTGGCGTATCCCCAGGTGTGTTTTCCTATAAATCGTTTATAAGAGGCTACTGTCCAAAATGAAACTCTTGGAAAAGAGAAGGGATGAAACTGACAGCTCATATTTTTCCATCTTTGTTCCAAGCTTTGAGGTTGGAAATGGACCCAGCCAAGCCGTTTATGGAAACAGGGGTTGTATATCTCAAACGAATCCAAGTTCGACACATTTCATCATCATGAAGTTGGCCCGTTGGCGTCTACTTGGTGTATGAGTTCAGTTGTGCCTTTCTACCTTCTACCAGGCCTCTGATTTGCAGCTTCAATGGAAGATGATTGGTATCCGCCCAATGCAAGTAATGTGAGTAAAGTCCCCTTTTTTTTCCATAAATGATAATATTGGTGGTTTATTATTGCTCTACTAACAGTACTTAGGTTGCCAGATATACCGTATACCTTCTGTATGCATCCTTGTGAAATATCGACAATTTCCAATCTCCTGTGTTTTGGTAGCTAAATCCCACTATCAGCATTTTTTGGTCGTCGCTATTCCCTTCACTCCTTGTAACATAACCTTTTCTGCCGTGATTGCGCTGGCGTCACATTAGCTGTAGATTATTGTAAATGTAGACATATTTATAGTGATTATTCCACTAATTGAATTGTTTTTTTATTGACCCAGTGTAGTGATGATACATTTGTTCCATTTCTTTCCCATCACAAACAACCATCAGCAACCCTGGAGGTTTTTGTTCTGTGCGAGACAGGCTTCCCAACCCCCGAAGGTGACACCTTTGATGGCAGGTGTAGGACGTGTATCCGTAGGCGCGCTCAAACAATTTTTCTAGCATAAGCGTGCTGAGCTGAGTTATATATTGTTATATAAATGCTGCCAATCAGTATGTAACTGATAGTAATAACTGAGTTTTCCCATGGCTAATGTAATGTTATAACTAGCGTAGTGATGATGGGAAGCCCCCCATGGCTGGTGAGGAGATCCCCATGCTTCATGAAGACCCACTGGACGATGGCACTTGCGCACGGAGTTGTTTTTGGTCCGGAAGAAAAGACTCGTTGTTCTTGCAATTTACAGAATGGGTTCTTAATGGTGTACCCTCTGGTAAACTAACATATCTATGGAACATCGCCATGCTATTAATGGGTAAATCAACTATTTCTGTCCATTTTCAATAGCTATGTTAAATTACCAGAGGGTAAGTCATTGAACAAGTATGAACATGTTGAATCCCACCGGTTGGTTATATGAATAAATGGTATTCTATAAGCATTAAACAAACCAGCCATTTCCGCATTAAACCCAAGTTGTAACCATCCTTTTCAAGTACCATAATGCTCATAATCCAAGTAGTAACCAGCAACAACCTCTATATACTGGTTGGTGGTTTGGAACATTTTTTATTTTCCATAATATATGGGACAACCTTCCCAACTGACTAATATTTTTCAAGATGGTTAAAACCACCAACCAGTTATAGGATGACAATTGTGACCTGATGTACCCAGGAAATGGGCTATGTAAACATGCCTGGATTCCAATGATTAAATCATCCCGAAGGACTTGACATGTGGAGGATCATCCCGCAAATCGTAATGCTTGTGGTTAATAAACCTTTGTAAGTCCCATTGTATAAATAAACATATTTATATATATATATATTATATATATATACACTCTATATAACATTATAACTTGGTTATAGATATACTATGTTGTCACATGTTTTTAACCACTTACGATTTGTGGGTCTATGGCTGGCTTAAAACAACATGGCGATATTTTCACGACTTCGATCCGTGGGATGATCGACCGCTGCGACGAAGAAAGGTCGACGCCCGTCCCCGTTTTGGCCACGGACCCCGCAAACCATCCCGGCCGCACGAGGATTGCAGATGCACGGTGGATCCAACAAAGCAAACCGAACTGTAGAATATGGAGGTTTCCTAATATGGGTACCCCTAAATCATCCATTTTAGATTGGGATTGTCCGCATTGGGGATAACACTAGTGAGATAAAACTGTTCACATCAACGATTGGGATATAACAATCTTAGACAATCTTAGATACAATTCTAGCGAATTTTGATGCTTTTGTATATAACAAGTGTTTGGCCTACAAAGCCGTTCGACATTAATCATTGTCTTTCAACAATGATGATATAAGAACTATTCCTAGGGATGAGCATCCCCACAAGGTGCTGCTGGGTCAACCGACCGGGTAGACACGAATGTAATGGTAAAGATTAGTCCATTCTCCAGCTAAAAAGGAGACTTTTTTGCCAGGTATATATCTAAGATTCACCATGATTTCTCTGAGGTGTGATTCTGTACGTATTGATATATCTGTGAGAACAAAAATAATGCAAATATTTATAGCTGAATAGTGATAGATCAATAATGATGAATACAAAAATTAATAACCGTGGGTGTTACCACAATTGTTTCGGGGTCAGATGGTGGGTGGTGATGATTTAAATTGATTGAGATTGCATATTGTTTGCCATAGAAGGATCTGAGTTGGCTATTTTCAGAGCGATATGGGTGCAGGTACGCTGTTTGGGAAGTGTCGGTCCCTCATCACTGTGCAACCCCATCCCCCATTCATATTAAACACATCCATTCTATGGTCCCAATGATGTGGAAGTTCCATTCCCTACTAAACCATGGTTTCATTGGGGGGTGTTTAATATTTGGGAGATGGGATTACAGATACATCAACCATATATATATATATATATATATCCCCGTTCTTGATAGTTAGATTCCCATTACATCACCATTGAATCACTGCTCAAAAAATATCAGGAACTGGAAATGTCCATGGACAACCAGTTGGGGGTTCTCAGCTGGGGCAAGTGCAGGAACTATATGAAATTGCCATGAGAAGGAAATTGAACATGTTTTCACCAACCAAAAAATGTGATACAGTGATGTGAGGGTAGAGCCAAAAATGTGGATGTTGCCAACACACATACAGATATCAGATTTCTTCATGGATTTTCATTGCACGGCTCAAGCCCTTCACTGGCAAAGCACGGCTCAAGTACGTTGCTGAAACTATGGCTGGCTGTAAAGATCTGAAGCTCTTGATGTGCATCAGTTTGGTGTAGATGAAACGATTTGTCAAAATTGTATGTGTATATATATATACAGTATATATATATAGGTGAATTGAGTTGTTTGGCCCAACAAAATTTGAAACATGTGGATATTGTATACTATTTTAATATTTTATATGTCGCAAACATGGACTGATATCAATGTGATATGAGTGATATGTATGTTGTCTATATATTTTTTATGATTTCCTGGTGTTGTTGGATACAATTTCAGACTTGGATGAAAGAAACAACTACCGGAAACCCCGTAGCTGGCTGGTAAATCTATGGTTTTATGTAGATGTTCCCGGGAAAAAAAATACCGAGTTGATCCATGTGTTCCATTAGGATTGTATGAGTCGCATCAAAACGGCTGTAGATTGAAGGTAAGTCCACCCATGTTCATGGATACATACACAACTGAATGATCCATATCCTTCTGTTGTCTATATAATATATCCAATTGCTTCCCATTATATCCTCATCGATCCATTCTTCATTGATGAAATCAATTGAACTCCTAGTTTTTGATGGTTAATTCATGTGAATTCCAATTATTTTCATGTTTTCTGTATACCACCATTAACCTTCATCGACCACCCTTTCCTCTCAATTATATATTCAATAAATCCCCATTACAGCCCATTATATCCATCATAGCCCTAGAATAGTTCCAATGATACCCTCTATCCTCATTCTATCCCCTTGATTGCTGCTTAAATCCAGCTTGATTCCATCACTGGTTGGTGCTTTGGAACATGGCTTTTATTTTCCCCAACCAGATTGGGGATGATGATCCAATCTGACGAACTCCATCATTTTTCAGGGGGGTAGGGCTCAACCACCAACCAGGCTGCAGCATTGTTCCACCAGCATCCGGGTCTGATCATGACCTCACCTCGTGACGGCTCCATGTTCTCGCCAGGTTTCAGCTAGATCATATCCCTAGAAAAAATCGCCATTAAAGCATTGAAATCCCTGGCCTTAATGGTTAATAAGGGGGAGTATGGCAAAATAACCCTATTTTAGGCCGGAAAATTGTTATGATTTATCCAGGCATATAATCATTGTTGATGAACTCCATTAAGAATCCCTGCTTATGTATATATATCGACTGATGAAATCTATTAAGAATCTCTAAGTTCAATCTAGTGAGTCATTGCAATTCAGCCACATGAAATCCACCGAAGTCCTTGATTTTTGGTGAAATCCCCACCATCCACCAGGTGGATGGGCGAAGATGCGCTCATTGGAGCGGTTCTGGCGGAAGATTCAGAGAGGTCGGACGATTTCCCAGGGATGGGGGGAGAGATCACACCATGCTGGGATGAAGCAGCTGGAAAATCCACCATTTTGCAGCGTAGTTCAATCATCATGTTTGTATATTTTTGTCATCTGTAGATATATTGTTGTGTAGGGGATGAACAGGAAAAAGCACCATTTGGCATGACTAAATCAACAAGAATTGGACTGTTGGATCAAACAACAAAAAAACAGCTATGCATCACCACTTGGGCTAAAGAACCATCCAAGTTCAGATTTACAATTTTTTGGTGCTTTAACCACAAAAAAACATGGGATTTATCTGAGGGCCATATGGAAATCATCGGGGGCTCTTTACGGGATCATCTCTCGGGGAATGGGGATGGAGAAAATTGGTGACCCGAATCCCACATGAAGTGATGTTTTTTTTGTAGCAAACCGCAATTTTTTTTCGGGGGGTATCCAATATTTATCCATAGTCATATGAATATTATGAATTATTTGAGCAGCTCGATATGATATGCGGGTAGGCCCTCTGCTGTGCAATACCCTTTTTCTGGCTGTAGCTCTCCTAGACATTCCCGAGACCCACTGGATATTATCCACTAAATATCGAGGTTTTCTCTGACATGTTGCTTTAATCGACTCTTGGATGCAGGATATATGTTGGGGTTGGAATCCTTAGGGGGATCCCAGAAGGAAGCTACATGGATGAGAACGACATGATTTTCCTGATCATAGTCTTCAGAGATGTTGAAAAATCCGTTACTATCCATTTAGGAAGTATGAGTGGCGGTTTATACTCACCATTTTACATTGTGATGCTGTCCCGAAACATATTTGCTGTACTTGGTGGCTCATCCCACTTAGTAAGTGGGTTATAACCCCAGTTATAAGTGGATTAACCCTACTTATCCCATTTATAACTGGGGTTATAACCCACTTACGAGCCGTGGGATGAGCCACCAAGTATGAATTTGTCCGAAAATGTGGTACCCCTCAATCCAATGGTTGATCCTCATTTTGCCTATTGGAGTTGCGCTGTCTTTGGGTTTTTTCCGCACTTTCAGACACCCAAGCTATGTTATATGGGTTCTATATCCCATTGTACCCCCATGAAATAACCACTAACTATGGTTAACTCCCAAGTTTGGTGAAATACCCACCTTCCCCACTATGGTTAACTCCCATTAACTCTAGTGAACTCCTATTTAATGGTATCCATATGATAATAACATTAAATGATTGTTATTATTGGTATCCATATGGATATTAACACGGTTTAACCATTAAATAACCATTACATGTCTCCATATGATACCCCAATTTCATATAATGTTTAAGCATTTCTTCTCTCCTGCGCCAAGAGTGCAGGGCGTTGACCCTTCTTCGCACTGCAGATGTCACCGTGCGTGACAAGGAGCTGGGGTGATGGCTGACCATTGTTTAATAGACTAAAACACCATGGAGAACAGTTTATGAATGATGAGTTCACATTCATTTGCAGGAAACACCATGCCAAATATGGAACGAGTTTATTTATATAACCATCATTTATTTATAGGTTCACGGATGCTAACCATCATTTGTTTAACCACGGTCAACCAATGTTAGACATCATTTGTAAAATCCCATAATCGACTATCTAGTGGTTAATCTAGTGGTTACAAGGGAGCTAAGGAGCTATGGGTCTCCATATTCCTTATTAAATCAGGAGCTGAGGAGCTATATACTAAGAATTTTGCAACCACATGATAGTCAAACACGGCTGGCTGGAAAGACGCCTATGAATGGACAGTTATTCTTGGGAAGCTCATTTGTAAAGCTGCAAACGAATTGCCCTGTTTGATTTCAAGAGGGTACCAGTAAGTTAGAACACCATGGAAGGCGGACAAGGTATGGAAATTTTGAAATACAGTTTAGACGTGATGGTTGCTTAATGATTGTACGGGATTAACTATCCTACAATGCGAAAATTTGGAACTACAACACATCCATTAGCCAGGAATCCCCACTAACATCCACTGAGCAACCATTGGAAGTATTTTCATTACGTAGGAAATGTGGAAAACCCAATGATTAATGCCATAGACTACCCCGTTATACTTGTATAGTATAACCATTTAAAAGCTGAAAGAGAGTCAGAACCAACAGTATCCCAATACGGTAAACCCAATTTGATCAGCCCAAATTAAATTGGAGATGATTGTTTACAGCCCGAGAGTTGGTGAAGAATCCGAAAGTTGGTTACAGCCCAGGGCCCCTCCAATTCTTATTTGTAAAATTTTGTAAATACAGGAACATTTCCACCATAAAAGTTCGAGAGTCCCTCAGATTCTTAGAACATGTTTATTTGTTTACTTCATGAGTTGACAATCAAACTATTTCGAAATAGTTTTTGGGCGTACAGTTTCTTCCTGGGGATCTATGCTCAGAAAGACTGCTTCGAACAACTGGTTTGTTGATTTCGGATTCTGCATAACGATCATAACGAGGTCCAGCAGCCAACGCTCGAAAAGATGATTGGACCCATTTGGCCTCCGGTTTTTGGCCTATAGCAATCCAAACTTTGCTATACATCTATACTGTACACTAGGTTTCACTCTCGGTTGAACACTTGTTCCAGTTCAATGTTCCCACCGGGATCATTCTTTGTGCTAATTTTTTGATAGATATAGATAGTGTCTTGGAAGTTCAAAACCTTCAATTCCAGGATTGGTTAAAGGGATGGAACATGTAGAGGAAAGACCCCTACTTGAAGGGAAGGACAGTGGTTTTCTGTAGTTTTCAACACATCTATTGAACCATTATCTTCCGTGTATATGTTCCACGTAAAATTCATATGTCGATGGTTAAATCCAATAAAAACCATCCCCCGATGAACTTAGACCCCACCTTATCAGTTTTTTTTGGAACAAAGTGTAGCTAGTCTTTCAACTTCTTCCAACTTCGAACTTGCTTTTGATACTTATATATATATATACTATATTTATGTCCCAGAATGGCTTATATATATATCATATACAATGCTAGTTTCCAAGGTCTATGTTACTTCGGAGCATTATGTCCCCGCTTTTGAAGCTTCCCCAAGCAGCATCGCGTGAGGAAGGTTGCACAGCTCTTCATCGTGCCTCTGCGTTGCCAGGTGAGGGGCGTGACCTGCAGAAATAGGTGGATTGGGGTTTTACTGGGAAATCTTGGGAATATCTTGGGAATATGATATGGGTATGGATCAATACCTATTAATACCATTTTTAGGGGGATGAACATCCATTTACCAGCTATTTTGATGTTCACCAGGGGTACCCATATCATGAGAATATCTTGGGAATACTGATGAAAAATAGAACGGGAATAATAATGAAGAACCTGAATTGGAAAATTAAACAAGTTGAGCAGTGGCAACAAACCCCTGTTGATTGATGGTTACAGGGGGTTATGCTACCAGGATACTACTTGTTGTATGGGTGATGATCGCAATCCGTTATGATGGGAATCCTTAGTAACCAGCCATTATATATAGTGGCATGACGAATGGGTGAATTCTACCGCCAAACATGATAAGATGAAGAGACCAAACGTCAATCTGGCTTACAAAGCCTTACTCAAACTGGAAATTCAGTGACTTGAACATGGATTCTCCAATGATTCTCCAATATAGTTATAATATGTTATAATGGGGGGATTCTCTCAATGCCAAGGTTGGTGCTAATTCGATGACAAATTATTACTTGTGATTTCGCTGGTCCATCCCTAGGCATTCCAGCGGTTGACTCAGCCTGTCCAGGACATGCGTTGCGCAATGTCTATACCTAGCCCAGCAGTTCCAGGTAGAAAAAGAATAGCAGATCATTTCCAGTTGACTTTTCCATCTTCAGCCACATTTGGGATGATGACTAATGACTTGCATATTTTCAGGGGCTCAACCACTAACTGCTGGTTATATCCCATTATAGTCCTATTATATAATTATATATATACATGTTTATCTGCATATTTGTTGGTTATAATCATGGTTTTATTGTTATACAGTTATACACCCATTATACTAATTTATATTGTAATGGTTACCATACCGTTTGAAGCCAGCAAAAAGATCACTGCAGGTCTGGCACGTGTGCGACGTGCCTTGTTGCTTGGTGGAAGCCTCGCGCAAAGGGGGCTCGACGGGTTGGTAGACTGTTGGACGGTATATGCTTTGTACACATAGGGGGTTCCCAAAATGGGGGTACCCCCATTTCATTCATCTTAATGATATTTCCAATTCTAAACCATCCATTTTGGCGATCCCCTATTATGGAAACACCCATATGAGCCATTACAAAGATAACCTGGTTGATTGGTTCTTGGGAGTTTTACTACCAAAGTTATTGGGGATGATGATAAAGAAATAGTAGGGGAACCTTTAAAAAAACACAACTAGGATAGTATTGTGACCTCACCGGAATTATGGTTAGGATTGCGGGCCAAACTCTTCAGGTTCGTGAATGAATTTATCACGGAGATTGTGATTTGCCCACAGATTATCTATATCTATGTGTTCTAGTCGGGATCTGACCTGTATTTTTTTGGGTGGGTTGTATGTTCACATGTATAATATATATATATAATATATATATACACACCTATATACATGTAGATGTTTGTGGATAGAGTTACACTTACCATAATATACCTGCTGTTTTGTACATGTACCTATGTATACAGACATACTGTACACGGTATGATGGAACCCATGATATAACCCATGAACTGGGATGTAGTTTGTTTATTATTTGCTAGCAAACTGCGATGCACCTTCAATCACAATCAGCAAGAGAGATTGGGTTTGTTATGTAGCTCCGAAGATCAATGGGTCTGGCTGAAAATGGGGTATATCATGGGCTATATCCTCCAAATGTCCATTTTTTCATTGGGAAAATGATCATAACCCAGGTCATTTAGGGTAGCCTATTGACAAACCCTGAGGTTGAGGATGATCTCTCTGGCGAATTTTTCAGTGATTTTTTGTTTCACTATGGCGTCATACCTTCTGGTAAACTATCAGTTTGTGAACTGGAAAATCACTATTTTCAATGGGTGAATCAACTATTTCGCCTGGGCCATTTTCAATAGCTAACTGTTAGTTTACCAGAGCGTACACCTGAATTCCAAATGGCTTCTAATGTCTTATTCCGCGTTGGAGGGCGGTTCTGATCAAACGGGCTTACATCAGTCAAATCTCTGGCAGTTTCTGAGGCCCCAAAGAAGATAAGAATTTGAAACATGGGAATGAATCGCTGACCATTAGGTGGGGCAACAAGAATTACCATTATTCGACCCGACGATGGCTCAGTTTTTGAGAGTGCATTTGGACACACAAAGTTTGTCATTGTCAGTATCAGACTAACCACTTGGGTGCTTGAATTAATAATTTGGGGGTCTCCAGAATAACACAATAAGGATTATTTGCCACATATATATATATATATACACAGCCCGAGCGCTGGTTAAGAATCCGAAAGCTTGAGGCCCAGGGTCCCTCAAATTCTTATACAGTGAATTCTTGTACAATACTCAAGCTGTACATGTATTAATGTTTTCATGTATTTGTTTGGATTATATATATTTTATATGGTTAATTATAAGAGATTAACAATGGTTTTCATATGATTTTCCACGTATATCTTCCCAAGAATGTTGAAACCCGTCCAGACTCGTGGACGTCCTCATTGCTCGCAAGCCGAAGGTTGGAGAAGGGCGGCGCACGCCTAGCTTCGATGAGGTGCAAGAGATAGGGAGGGTTGACCGTAGGTGGAACCGGAGATATCATTTGATCAGCAAAAAAATGGAGATTTCATGGTGATTTCATGGGAATTTAACCATCAATGGGGATATGGATGATATATATCTATAATCCCATCCCCCTAAGATTAAACACCCCAACAGAAAACCATGCTTGAGGAGGGGATTTACACATATTTTGGGACCATGTAGCGTGTGTTTACTATGGAAAGGGATTATGGGTTCCACCAGGACACGTTAGCACGTAACAATACAGTGGATGGAAGAAATCCTGCACCGGTGTATAGGTTGTTTATCGCATTATTTATCGGCTTTCAACCATCCTTTTGGTGGTGCAGGATTTCTGCCATCCACAGTACGTTGCCAGGACTTCTTTAGCAAACATGTGGATTTAACACCCCAAGATGGTGAACAGTCGTCAGCATTGCAGCCCCAAGGACCTGCGGAAGGGCCGAAGGGGGGGTTATTTTCTGAATCGGCGGTGCCATCATCTTGATCTATACCCAAAGCAATAAGGAAACACAGGGACAGATATAGAAAACCAACCGCATACAGATACAATTCCTTGGGAAACCCCGGATTTTCATCGATTGTTCAGTGGAGTCAGTTCGACCAACAAAAATGGTGATGTGAATGGCAAGCCATTGAGAATCAGTTTGGGCAGGTTTTAGCTTGTAAAGAAATAGTGGATACAGCCTGATAAAGCCAACAATAAAAAAAACCCGTAGGCCTAGATCGATTGTACTTCTAGATTCAAGATGCATCCAACAGTTTGATGATTTGCCATTGTGTGAATCCTTACACCTTGGTGATCCGTTCAATATATTTTGAGGTTTCCAACGGGGGTACCCGGTAAAAATCAAATCATCCATTTTTCTTTGGGATTTTCTATGAAAGAAACCATCAATTTGGGGGGTACCTCCATTTTAGGAACCCATATGTGAAACATGGCATTTCAAGAGCCATCCCATGGTGATGTGTTGCCCAATGTGATTGGAAGCCCTTCTTTTCAACGCTCACAGTGGGATTGGATTTGTAGGAAATGTAGACATAGGTAGACATAGACCAACAGGAATCCCAAGGGTCGAGTTAAATGTTTGACCGTAGCAGAAAAAGAAGTACTCTATCAGACTTATAAAAATTACGAATCCCATCCCCCTAATCTGGGGGAATTTAATGGATCTGTGATAAAACACCCAATTTGATTAAACCCATCCCCAGTCGTGGTAGGTGGCATTGGGGTTGCCCACATTAATCCCATTCTTGGGGTTCACAAAATCACCATAAAATCCCATCAAAATCCCAACCGTGTCCCATAAAATACCATAAAATCGCCATTAAACTATCAATTAAGTTCCATTGAATCAGCATTAGATGTCAGTTAATATTCCATTAAATATATGGCATTTGGGTTGCCCAGATGATGAATCGACTCAATCGACGGGCGATCTCTCAGGGATCTCCATATGCGCACGCCCTTGCATCATGCTGCGCTGGTGCCTGGCTGCAATGATTGGGCCGGGCCGCAATGGTGGGGTACCACTGCCATCGAAAGTCACACGATAAATTTCGATAAATGGTGATTTCATGGGATTTCCACTGGATTTATGGAGATTTAATGGTGATTAAATAGGTATCTCATGGGTATTTCATGGGATTGATGGAGATTTAATGGTGATTATATAGTGGATATTAATGGTATTGAATGGGGATATTTCATGAGATATGGCCACCACCGGATTGCGCAATTGGATCGCAAGGGACGTGGGAAATGTTCCTCGGATCGAGGAATCCGTAGGCACACGCTGAAAAATTCCAAAGGCGTTTGGGGGGAACGCTGCTCGGCAAGATTTCGTGATGTAGTGAGGAACTCAGACATCTCCATGTTTCTTGGCGGATACAGCTCCACGCCTGATTTTTTTTGACAAATCCAGGCAGCCAGGCCAGATTTCATGTGCCAACTTCATTCAGGTAGCCGCTTCATGTGACAGTCAAGATTCCTGGATACAAACTGTTGGTGACGGCAAAAGGAAGACATTTCGCCCCGACATCGTATTAAAACCGCTTGGATTCTGTGTTTTTTACCCTCTAACATCTGTGTGTCTGAAAACAGGATATACTATGATATACTAGTATACCTTTGCCATTTACATTCCGGAAAAACATGGAACACAAAATATCCATGAAATCCACATTGTGGTTATATCACCACCAGATATCCACATGTTTGTGGTTAAATCACCATTAGGTATCAAGTACATCACTAGTGGCTTAAAAAATACATTTAGTAGTGGATGTCCACTAATATCATGTGGTGCATGACTATTATATCATCCTATCCTATCATATTATATTTTATCATATCATATCATAGTGTATCACATCATATCATATCATCTAATTAATTACCATATCACATCACATCATATCATCATATCATTTCGTTTTTGACATGTTGTAAATCTGATCAAACATACTATGACTTACATCTCTATTAAAATCACAATTAGTAATGCATGTTCTCAGTGAATCTTCATGACTCGTCATCCTCATCCGCTGCACGCGCGGAAATGGCTGCCAGGCTGGGTGCCTGGAAGCCTGCCAGCAGCTGTTGGATGTCGGGGAGCTGAGAAAATCTGGTGATTTCCATAGAGTATCCATATTACCTAATATGGTTAGTTCACTAACTATAGATGGTGATTTCCATAGTTAATATTTTTAGGTAATCTAACTATGGAAAATCACCATCTATAATTAGTAAATGATCCATTGAAATGGTTAGCCTCTGGTAAACTAACAGTTTGCTATGGAAAATCACAAGTTTTAATGGGTGAATCAACTATTTCTATGTGCAATTTTTAATTGCTATATTAAATTACCAGAGGGTAATATTAACCATCCAATTATTGGGCCCCAATTTTGACCCATGGCCAAATATATAACTAGGAGAATTACCAAAAGATAACTAGTATATCCATCAATGATAACTATTATAAGATAACTATCATATGATATCAAGCATTTATGCGTATATATATATTCCAAGAGAATGGTTTTGGTAATGGATGGCAGCTGGCCACAACTATGATATATGGGAAATGGAATATATAACCAGGACATAAAATCTATTGGGATAGGTTTCATCAGATAACTATTATGGATAATGGATGTAAACCCAATAACAGGATAGTTGACTAGGATAATTGGGAATGGAAAGAAAATGATAACTGTTTGAGTTGGAGGATCTGTGATTTTTCTATGGGAAGAAACGAGAAAAAAACAAAAGGGGGCAAAGAGCACTCACAACAAACATATCTACATGATGTGTGTTTTAGCCAAGAACCAGGTCTTGTTTTTGTGGAATTCAACTTACTGGTGCTTAGTAGGGAATGGGGGTTGCTGGGATGATTACTAGTGGTTATTATGGATCATTCCCTCATTCCTTACTAAGCACCAGTAAGTCAATCACTTTGATGTTCATGTAGGCTTAAGACCAACTAAACATCCTGTATGTGACTGGATGGGGTGCCTGATCCGGTGATATAGCAGAGAGTTTTTCAAGATTCTACTAGGGTTGATGGGGAAAATAACTATAACATATTATAACAACAAAGTTGAAAACTAGTTCTAGAACCCAAACAAACAAACAACAGTTGTATATCTATATATATATAATCCAACATATCCAACAACGGTTGTATTTCTATGACTTTTAAACTAACATAACTGGTGGGTCTCACCTCGCTCAGACCTATGTGGCAATTTTGATAAAAGATGATCGACGGAATCCGAATTTCCAAAGTGTTCACCTTTTTTTGACACGAGTCATTTAATTTTTGTTGGTTCCATATACCCCTCATATCCCCTCATGATATCCACACTACCCCTAAAATCACAATTTTAAAACGGTGTGTTGTCGAACTAAACAGGCCATGGCTTCCATAGCAAACTGTAAGAACTGACCGGAGGGTATTGCGGAATGTTATTGTGATTCTCCCATCATTTACCAAATTTGCACCGCAAATTAGACCATGATCATCCCACAACAAACTTCTAATGGGTATGGTTCCTGGCATTGGGTTTACAGCAATATATCCCATCAGTTTTTATCATTAATTATACGTCCCCATCCGTAAACCATGAATTATTCCATGGTTTATGGCAGTGGGTTTACCGCATTATCTATGCTAGGAACCTAGTTATATCATCCTAGTATATCCTAGTTCTATGTTTCATTTGTAGTTAATATTATATACATATATTATTACATATATATATATTATACTGTATATTATATTTTATAATATATATATATATACATAATATAATATATATATACATCCTATGGTCCTGTGGCATTGGTTTTGTTTCCCATCATATCCTCTGTCCCCAGTCACCTCCAGAAGCTCCGTGCTCAACTCGTGCTCCAAGGCCGCCAGTTTTCACGACGCGGACCGGCCACTGGGACGTCGTAGCGTCGTAGCCACTGAAGACACTTTATCCATGGAATTATCATGGAAATATCGGGGGAATATCGAATATCATTTTTTTGTTTGGAATACAATATGATATCAACGGAATATCATTAATAATCTCATCGGAATATATTGGGAATATCATGGGAACAATATTGAAAAAAATATCATGAGTATATATTGGGAATAATAATGAGTAGTATGATGGGATATATAAAGAAAATTAAAGAAACATGCACATGAATCATGATGGCTATATTTGCCGTGGGTTTATATTCCCACGGGCATCCACCCCAGTCATAGGGATATGTCCATTCTTTATTATTAGACTCTCAATATGGGATGTCCATAAGCCATTCCCATGTTTTGACTCCTGGATTAGCACTCAAGAAGATGGTACTGCCATGGTCAAGTTCCATTGCTTGTCTTTTGTTTCTCCGATTCAGGAAGGGGAATCCTCTTGTGGTTTGGATGGCCACAGCTCAAACACCATGTAATTGGATCATAGTGCACATGAAATCAGAGTTCTACTCAGGGTTTTTATGACCACAATGTTCCTGTTTTGATTTAAGTATGTGTTTGTTGGATTAATGGTTTAATATGGTTTAATATGGTTTAACCGCGTGTTTCGCTGGTTGAAACCACATTGTTGCTGCTAGGTAAACACTTAACAAACCCTGGTCAAGAGTATTGCTTCTCTCTAGGATGTTCATGCCAAATAGATGGAGATAGCATAGGTTTTGATCCATTCTCGCGTTGATTATAGTAAGACAACCTGTTTTTGTTTGAAACCCAACAGCTGGGTTTTCGGAGAAAAAAACAGAATTCCTGCGTTGAGAAGCATCGGCAGTCCTTCACTGGCTGACATCAAAGTTACGTGAGATCGCCCAGAACCCAATCAAAACCTCCTGAATCAGTTCGGGTTTATGATTGTTGCTAACTTTTGATTATTGACTATCAAATCATCATAGGATTACGAAAAAATCATCCTTTCAACCAACTCCATATGCCATGAGTTGGGGTTGGAAGATAGGGACCTTTCCGCTTGGGCGATTCTCAGGGTCTCCAATGTAGTTTGGGGTTGCATGGCTTGCATCCCAGTTGCGTAAGTTGGAAACATGTTTTGTTTGCAAGGTGGGACCCCAAGTTATTTGTGTTGGTTGAAATAAAGCCCATCAACAATAGTCACTAGGTCAATCTTACATGGGTACTTTAATCCTTTATATAGTCTTTTGGTATTAATGAGAATATCTACGTTCACCAGCAAATGAATTTATTTTTTGCAGGGTATCTAAGATTGGCAATGGTTATATGTGTTTTAAACCCTAGTTATTGGAGTTATGTTTACCAACTTGGCTAACCCCACCTACTGTACCCGATTGTTGGTGAGATGTATCATTATACATTTTATGTTTCCCCACTATATCCATGTTTGTTGGTTCTAGCATGTTTATTTGCCATGAAATAATTATCTATATATTTATATATATATATATGTATATGTGGATGTATATTCTTCCAGATTGTTGGTTATATTCCCATTTATCCCGGTATATCAAAATTAAATCACTCATCCTCATCAAACCATATTAAACCATAATCTATGCTTAAATCTCCATTTAAACCCATTACACCATCATAGAAATAGCATATGAATGATCGTTTAAAGCCATTTACAAAAAAAAACAATCTTGTGGTAGTTTCTTAGTCTTAGTTCAATTAAATCCCATTAAACCCCATCAAATTCCCATTAAATCGCATGAATTCCCATCAAACCACATTAAATCCCATTAAATCCCATCACCAGGCGTGCCTTGCATGGACGGACGGCATGGAGCCTCAAGATTTGGATGGAGATGGGAAGTTCAGCCACAAGAAATGATTTCATGGTGATTTCATGGGTTTTGATGGTGATTTAATGATGATTCAAAGGGATTTAATGGTGAATCATGGTGCCTAAATTGGATTTAAGCAACAGATAGAGGGATATAATGGGAATGGCATAAACTATGTTCTGGAAATTCATGGGACAAAGGGGATATGTAGCTACAATACATCAACAAACTGTGGCTCACATATTATTGATAATGATGACCAGTTTATGTTTAGCTATTGAATGTGATTTGAACCATCATTTAAAAGAGTTTAATGGTTTTTTAACCATCAAGAATGTGGGGATATTACAGTTTTGATAGATGATGGTCGGTGGGTTCGCCATATTGAATAGCAGTTTATGCTGATATCATGGAAATATATTTGAATATGTTGGCATATTAGGTCCAAGAAGCCTCTTGTTGATTAGTTGTTATCGCCGAGCATTTTACCATATTATCCATAGGGTATAATCCAACATATGGTGTTATTCCGCACGTGATATAATTAACACATGATGGTTGGTTGATCTTATTTTGTTCTTAAGGCTTATAGTATCTTTGCATCTTCGGGATAGTCCCAATTCATGAACGGGGCAGTCCTCTTAACCAACCATATTGGGGATGTTCCAAAAGATTTACGACACTACTCACCTCGTATATTGACAGCCACCTCTCTGCTACCAAGCCCCAAAAATGATGATAAAGCTTGGCAGAAACATCAATTGGATGACGAAACGGATAGGTCTGGGATATATTTCAACGTAACCAGCCAACATGTATAGATGTGTAAAGATATGTCTTGTTTGAAGAGGCTTCCCATTTGAACCATTCCCATGGTTCGAGTATGTTAGAGATATCCAAAGTACTTCGAGCCTAGAGTGTTTTTGTTTTTTTCTGGTTTATCTTGGCACATGATTGGCAATATACCATGAATGCTCATCCCAGTACGTGGCTTATATATCATTATATATATATAATTAGTTATAGTCCTAATTATAAGTGGGATAATTAGGCTTAATCCACATAACGTTTTTTTTTCAAACCACTTACAAAGTCAGATGAGCCACCAATTCCTTACGTAAATCATCCTAACGCTGAGGCATATCAGCGCGACTCTTTTTCAGGTACAACAAGATCAATGTTTATTATTAATGTATAAATATGAAGAAATAATGTATATTAATGTATATTAATGTATTAAGATCATTTTTGATCAGCCAAGATCAATGTGTTCAATCTATTTTGGCTGATCAAATCCCTTCGACGGCCCATCATATTTCACCAGTGTAATCCTCATTTTTGGGTGGTATACCCTCTGGTAATTTAACATAGCTATTGAAAATGGCCATTTATAGTGGATTTTCCCATTAAAAATGGTGATTTTCCATAGTTATGTTAGTTTACCAGAGGGTAGTGCTAGTAAAACACCAAGCTTGCATGTGGAACAAAACACCAATTTTGGATCGTATATAAACAAAAAACTTTTGATGATACCAGCTGACTCTTGACAGAGATAAGAAAACAAACAGAAAAAATATCAACCAAACAAATTAGGTGATGAGAAAAAACAAAAAGATGCTAACAACTGAATGTAGACATGTGTTTTTGTCCCTCAGAAGAATCCCTCCCATCCCCTACTCCAAACAGGCTCTGCATTTGGCGGCGGAGTACGGTCGTGCGGAGGTGTGATGTTTTGGATCGATTTTTTTTGGGATCTGAAAACTTGGCAATTTTCACAGGGACCATGATGGATCAGAGGATTTTTTTTGGGGGATAGCCATGGATAGCCTATCTTCAGACTGATTTACCTTTTGAATGATTTACCCTCCGGTAAATTACCCACAAAACTCTCCGCATGGGTGACTATATGGGACAGCTTGATGGGAACACACGAACGACGAGTCAGCTGAATGATCTACCCTACAGTTCATGATGTATTTACCCTCTGCTTATTTAACATAGCCATGGTATAGATGGCCCATAGAAATGGATGAAATAGATGGTTTACCGTTTTTAAAAATGGGTGGATCTTTCAAATGGCAAACTGTGAATGTCATAACCAGATGGTAATGATTTAGCGTCATTGGAAGGCCCAACTCATGGCAACTTCACGGGTGTTCCCAGGGTCTATTTCACGGCTGGGCCTATGGTAATGGTTCTATGTATCCACTTGCAACCCTATATATATGCTCTATATATGGGTAATGAAGGGTAAGGGTCTGATTCAGCTATCGGTAACCCTTCAGGTGTTGTTCAGATTCATGGGGGATGATTGTTCGTATAAAAAAAGACATAACCTGTTGATGAGAAGAATAACTGATACTGCAGGTCCGCAACAAACAATAATGAACAGGCAGGCAGTATGGGTTACTAATTGCTGATTAAATCTGGCTAATGTGAGTATTGTGGGTAAAACAATGATAAACCATCCCCCAGTCATCACCATAAATAGGTGTTATAAACCATTCCCAAATGGATTGTTTATTATTGTTTTGCCCTTGTTACTCTTTATAATTATATATATATATTTATTCCCGGAATGGTGGGAATTGACCTGTATTCATCTCAGATGCCGTGGTCTCTCCACAAGCATTCTATGTATATTGCAAGGACCCAACTGCCAACTGCTCGCTGAATTATCCCATGGAGAGTTCAGGTATATCTATCCCTTCCGGTTCTAATATATGGATATATAGCGATATATATATATATATATCGATATATATATATATATGTATGATTATATATATATGAGATTATATGAGTGTTTCTCCATCATCTTCTATTTTGGATGGCACTTGTGCTGGATCACAACTTCAAACAATTGCGAATCAAACAAGTGGTCGAGGGCCCAGTTTGCTTTCCACAAGTTTGCAGCGGTGCAAGCACGGCGATCAGGTCTGCAGATGTTTGTTGGACCATCCAAAGTTCACTGTGGTGGACGTCCTCCCCTCATGGATGAACGGCGGGGGGCGCCCGAAAATCTCAAAGACATCTTATAGTGATGTTTGTGGTTATGACATGTTATGACATCATGCCGTACCTTTTGTGTCATTTTTCCGGGAAACGGAGATTCTCAGGCATCATTGGTTGGCTATGTATGCTGATGTCATGTTGTGTGCAATAAAATCATACCAGTTGTAGTGTGTTCTGAGCCAAAAAAAATAGCCGTCAATCCCGACTGATTTATCTCAATACAATCAGCACTATCAACAGATTTCCATGCCCTATTCAGGCCAGGCCAGATTGGAGATAGATATTCCATGGGAGATCAGTAGATATCCCTGGCTGATGGTTTCTGCCAGGCAAACAGCAAACTGTTCCACCTGGGATGATGGGAAATGATCATAAATCATCTATAAATCTGGGTAAATTATAACGACCTCACTGCGACCTCACTGGAAATCATGGTTAGTAAGGGGAATCATCCCCAAATGGCCGCAAGATTCAGGTTAGTGAAATATTACAATTTACCCAGATAAATGGGCAAATTCCATTGCTAGACTGGATGACCAGAGGCTATCAATGGACACGGATCAAATGGAAACAAACGAGGCGTCTAACTAAGTCACCAAATTGCCAGCTGACTTGCTGCGATAAGGCTACTCTCACCATGATTATCTTCCGGTAAAATCCAAAGTTTTGATGGGAACGTTTGGGACAATCATGGAAGTAAATGGTTGTCCCCAACTTGATAATTACATATAATTACTATAGTGACCCGGCCACTTCTTGACCTGGCTCAAGCACGGAGAAAAGGTGCTGAATCTCCGATCTTTTCCGTGTCACAATGAATCGCAGCCTGCCAAATTGTGTATCCACATGATATGAGGCGTGGTGTGGCTCGAGTGGCTCGAGTGGCTGCTGTGGCTGGTGATTTCTTGCCAAGATATGGAATTTATTTTGCACATAATCGTGCAGCTTGTGTATAGTATGCACCGGTATGTGTTGAACGTCAAAGTTCAATTTGTTGGATTAGGATGACTTAGGATGACTTAGGAAAGTCTTTTGAAATTTCATGCATACTCATTTTCCCCATCCAAGTCTACGCTGCCTCCTGCACTTTGGTGATACCAGCATTCCAAAAACGTCGGCTCGCCAGGAGCCATGCTGCGAGCCAGGCGCGCAGTGGGATCCAGGATTCTCCTGGAATCAAACATGATGAGCCGGGAAATCCCCAGAAAATGGAATGGAAGATCATGGGATTTTTGATGTGGAAGATCATGCTAGAAAATCCCACCATAAAAAAAAATGGTGTAGACTGGGATTTTGAAAAATGGAAGTACCTGGAGGATGTTTCCAGCAAACCATGATTTATGGAGATTTCTTGTACTTGATAAGTATATTTTAAAATATTATAAATCTGCTCATACGTATTTCTGATTTGTGAACTATAGTCTGTTTTCCCAGATTTGTAGGACACACCCTGTCACTATATGGCGAAACAAAGAGGAGAGACGGCAAACATATAACATGTGTTGCAAAAACTTTGAGTACCCTCTGGTTATTATTTAACATAGCCATGGAAGCCATGGCCCCAGTCGAAATAGATGGTTTACCGAACTTAAAAATGGGTGGATCTTTCCATGGCGAACTGTGAATGTCATAACCAGATGGTATATGCTAGGAGTAAAACCATTATAATCCCCATTAACTATTGTTATATCTACCATAAACCATTGTTAAGCCACTTACAAACCAACTTAGCTATCTTGGGGGCCCCACATTGTAGGAGTATTTTTCGGAATGGGAACAACCACCCAGAAGGGCAGAATCCGCACGGGGATTTCCCAACCAGCCATGTTTGAGAACACCATTGCGGGTATTTCCCGTAGATATGCAACTTTTAGCACTTGTTTGTTGGTGAAATTCCTATGAATCACCGTAAAAACCCATTGAGTCCCGTAAAATCACCATAAATCCCACAAAATCACCATAAAATGACCATAAAATCCCGGTAATTGACCTCCATTGTTGAACTAAGTCCCAGCTCTGAAAGCCGACCCGTGGATAACAGGGGTGTCTTCGGCCTGGTACTTGCACTGGTTGAAGCATGGGAGGTGCCGTTGAGGGTCTGAACATTTTGGAGTAATTAATACTGATTTTTCATGGTGATATTTGGAAAGATCTTGGAACATACATGGGATACTGTAAATATTGGATGGGAATAATATGTACAATGTCTGAGTCATTTTTGTGAAAATGAGAGTGCAAATGTTTGGGGAACCTATTTATCAGTACATGGAACATATCACCATGAAATACTGTACATCGAACATATTTGGGATAAATATAAGGTATCACATCTTTTTTCGTGGTGACATTTTGGGAAGATCTGGGGAAATATATGGGATGAAAATTGAATAAACCATGATAAAACCGGCGAATAATGGATGTAATGAGAATATCATCATGGGAATCCCTATGGTAAACTAACGTTAAGATGTGGAGTTTTCCATAGATGGTTCCTGTTCGGTATTTATGATCTGCATTCACAGTGGGTTTTCGACATCGAACTGATAAAGTTTACTGGAGGGTAGCCCAAAGCGATTGGAATTACCATCTGGTTATTTAACAGTTCGCCATGGATAATCACCATTTTTGATAGGTAAACCCAGGTAAACCATCTATTTCTATGGGCCATTTTCCATGGCTATGTTAAATAACCAGAGGGTAAATCAACTTGTTCCTATTCAAGTATTTCCCAAAGATCTGAAATGTTCTCAGTTATATACATCATAAATTTTAAAAAAATGGTTCCGGAATCTCCAATCCAACATATATTTCATGGTGGTTTTAGTGTGTTTTAGTGTTACACATATCTTCAAGGTCATATCTTAGTGTTGCGCCATGTATGCTATACGACATCCAAGACCATCCAAGAACCATCCGTCACATTCATGGGGCGACTGGATATGACTGGATGATGGACAGGGATAGCACCATGACATGACCCATGACATACCATGACTTTGGAAAGCTCCATATTTCATCATATTTCTACAGTTTGATGATCGAATGATCGCAGTTTTTCAAACAGAGGTTTGCACCAATGAAACGTGTATGGCCAGCATAGCAAGTTGTTCTCCAGGTATACCATCCGAAGATATGTTTCCATGGACTACATATGGGTTATATGATGTGTTATAAGTTATCAGATGTGTTAGAAGATGTGTTATAGGGCACCCCTCGGATTCCTTGGACGCACCTGCCGAAGAGTAGGTTTCACCGTTAGTTTCACCGTTTCGGGAATCCTTCAGCTTCTTTTGCTCAAAACATCTTCAGTTTTTTGTGGTTTTGATCAAATTCAACTTGGCGATGATGCTCCGGCCAAGTTGGGGGCTGGTGGTGGAAAACAGGGAACTGTCGTAAGGCAAAAGATGGCTACTCTACACCCAGATTGGTGGGCCAGTTGGATCATTTGTTACAAGTGGGAATCTGCAGTACTGAGCTAGTACCGGGCTAAAAGGAACCATATTTTTTGACAGGGTATCCAGCCGATTGGCCATGATCGAGGTTGGCAAAGTGGTCCTTCCCGATCATGGGTTATATAATCATGGTTAATGAGCCCTTAACAAAGGAACTTGAACGTGAACTGCACCCCCCAAATGTGCCCTAATGATAGATGGTTATAAACCCTTATTAATGGTTGTTGGTGGTTGAAAAGCCCTTATATAATCAAGTCTTACGCTTTGGGGTGTCACCTTTGGCTCCATGATTGGGGGTGATTCCATCTGAAAACTGAACTGTGGATATTGGGTGCTTGAACGAACAGCCATCAATCAAGTCTCTGTTGCCTCATGGGGGTATGTGTTGCAGTACGTAGAGGGTAATTCTGAGCTGATCCGCCAGGCCCACTTGTAGCTGGACAGCCATCCGCAGCCATTTTAAACATCCATCTGTAAGCATGTGCAAATTGCAGTGTTTGTCTCAGTTGGGAGCTTGATAATGTGTGTATGGTTCAAACTTATTGACCTGACTGAAACAAGCTGAACCCCTCAATTGAAGGGTCGCATAGGTCAGTCAGACAAGTTCAAATAGACAGGCAGTGCAAGACACCCCTGTTTGTTGAAAATTAGTTTAGGGATTCAATTCTACTACCCAACATTAATTGGGGGTACTACCCAAATCTACCCAATATTAATTGGGGAGTATTGAGGATTATCATCACCAGCCAGGATTTCATGGAATGCCCAATGTCAAAGCATGGAGTCATCTCGTCTCGGTCTATTGCTACGCCAATCTACGTCATCTCAAGGTCACTAGGTCCCATGTGAACATGAATAATTTCATGCTGCGTGTGAAGATGTGAAGATGTTTGGAATACCAGATGGCCCAGTTTTCAATATATTTTACAACTTCATTGGTCCAAAATGACCACAAGGGATGAGTCTGGGCACCAAGTTTAGAATGATGTCGTTTTTCGGTTGAAACCTGATTAGCAACTAAAAAAATGACAATGGTTGCTTCTAGCTTGATGTATCTGTTGGCGGAACAAATAGGATGTAATGATCTGTAATGTAACAGCAGCAGCTTGAAGATTGCCAGCATATGCAAGTTGCATGTTTTGAATCTCGCGCCAATGTCTTGAATATCGATCCATACCCAATCATACAAGCATATTTGTTAACACAGCAAGCCAGCCAGCGCGACTCTCCTTAGATTCGCGTCCTAGTTACAGTAGTAGCTGGCATTTACATTGATTTATATATATATATACACATTTAATCACATTTACATATATGTATATAAATATAGATTATGGTAAACATCATGGTTTATTGCCATGATTTTCGTAGCGACACACATGGACAATGCCAGCTTTCAAATCCACGGATCTTTCATGGTATTCCCATGGTTAGCAGCCCATCTGCCACAATGTGAGGCCCCCCAGTTATGTCTGTTGGTTGACCAAAACCCCATGAATACATACTAGTTCGTTATTTGCGTATCATAAACCATAGTGAGTTATTGGAGTTATTTGCATGCACCAACTTAGCGAGCTATCGTGGCCACGGGGGGCCCTGTTCCCAGGAAAGTTCTTCTCATCTCCGTTCTGTTGTCGATGGCTGTGTCGATTCGGGACATTGAGGAACATCTGGCTGAGGCCATGATGACTTGAAGACATGATGGATCTGTAAAGAAAAAGGCCTCATTAATGTGGATTCATTGAGGGTTTTTCACGGGCAATTCTTGGGAATAGTTTTGAAATAATGATGATTTTCATAATATAACTGGATATATTATGACATATATATATTGATATCAAGAACATGAATGATTTTAGGGAATTAGACTACCCTTTTTCGATATTGGGTTATCATCCATGAACTGAGCACTGCTCACGAGAGAGTGTGCATCCCCGGCATCATGAGTAGGTAATAACCATGAAAAAATGTTGTAGCCCAGTGGGATGAGGGACATATCCCTGCTATTTCTGACTTATATATGTTTTATATCATTATACAATATATTATATATATATATATATTATATTATATATATATATATATATATGTATATATAAATTATATATATATATATATTATATTATATATATACATATATATATATTATATTATATATATATGTGCATACAAGCCACTTAATTTTAGTTCATGATGAATAACCCCCAGGTTTCTTGACAGCATGGGTACCTGTTTTAATAGAAGTTTACCACATTTTTTAGCAGGCAACCTCACCAACATTAGTAAGTGGTATGCACATCCAAGTAAAAACAGATGGCCGCATGGTCGCATTGCTGTTTTCCAACTTTGGCTCAAATCATGTGTTGTTCCCCACCTGCCAGGTGAGGGTTGTTAGATTTTATGTCAGTTGCCTGGTCCTCCTCCTCCTCGTCCTCCTCCTCCTCCTCTCCTCTCCTCCTCCTCTCGTTGTCCTCCTCGTCCTCCTGCTCAACTGCGACTCGCGATCCACAGTGTTCTCTGTCGGACCTCAACCACGACCATCCACGCCCAGTGTTCCCTGCCGGACCTCAACCACGACCGTCCACGCCCAGTGTCCCTGCCGGACCTCAACCGCGAGTATCCACGCCCAGTGTTCCCTGCCGGACCTCAACCACGACCATCCCCGCCCAGTGTTCCCTGCCGGACCTCAACCACGACCCCTGGATCTCCAATATAGCTAATTTAGTACATGTACTATTTAACCAATATTATTTAAGCAATATTGCTGGAAAATTTACACGCCTTATTTAAGCAATATTGTTTTGCCCAAAAAACAACATGTTGTGTGAAGTCAAGACAATGAAACATATAACTGAAAACAAACATATCCTACATAGGAGAGCTATTGCTCCTACAGAGGAGACTGGAAAGATTTCTTGGCATGTTGTGCCAATGCAAGAAATGTCATGCAAAACTAGCAGCTTGTCTTTTTTTGCCAAAGCAGGGATTCGCGAAAATCAGTCAACAGGCCAAGTGGGCACAAGATTGTCAGCAACAAATTTTCAACAAAGTTTGTCCAGAAATTGCCAAAGCTGTGTTGTTTCCACCTCTGTGCTGGGAAGCCTTGGCAATGGAGCCTCCATAATCTTCATCTCTGTACACCCAAGTCAGTGCTGGATTGACTAGGTCGAACTCACACAATTCCTGGGCCATGTGGAATTTGGGCTTGAATTTCCACAAGCCATCAATAGCATGTTTCTCCAATTCTACATACAGCAGCAGAATTTTCCTACAGTTGCTGGCCATATCTGCAGGTGGGTGTGTATCTCGACTCAAACATTGATACATGGATACCAAATGCTTTGTTGCAGCCAGCACCATGTTTTCAAAAGAGTCTGTTTTGTCCAATGTGCATTCAGCCAGTTCCAGCAGCCATGGCACCAAGGATCTCAATTCCCCTGCACTAGCTCTCAGCTTTGGGGAAGTCAATTTCCCTTTTGCATTTTTTTGCGAATCATCAAAGGAGTCAAAGTTGTGAGTCTGTTTGAACAGTCTGGATTTTTTCTGTACCAGGCTTGCAAATGTCTATGCAAAGCTTTGCATTGTTGCTTCATACCATTGCCAGGAAATTTAGGTAAAACATGGTAAAGTAAGTTGCCAGCAAAGTCAGCTCCCATTCCCAGGTCCATGCAACGCAGCCAATCTATCCCAAAAGTTTCGAAGTTTACACCGGAGATGGAAAACAGAGGTGAAATAAATTTGGCTTCCTCAAATGCCGCCACAAAGTTTTCATCTGAGACACCCAAGAAGCTTCCAATGAAGGATCCCTACTATTTGTGCTTGAAGCTTGGCATCTGTAGCAACAGGTCTTGTCATTCCAGCCAGCCAGACCAAAGAAGTTCTTGTATGCCTCCCAATCTCCTCTGACTTCTATCAACATGCCATGGGCACCCAATGGCTTGCCACATTGTTTCTGTCTCCAGCCATGAAAAGGATCTTGTCCAGGAAGAGGAGTGGAAGGAAAGAATCCAGCATGCAAACAAGTAAAGCTCCATGCAATGATGTTCAGCAAGTCCTGCATGGTCTCCTCCACCAAGAACTTCTTGTTCACCAGTGCGATTGGAATTCTCAATCTTTTAAAATCATTATCCACTTGACCTGGAAAATTCAAAGTCAAAACAATCATTGATTCTGACCTGTCCCACTTGACAGGCACACCATCAATCCAGAAACCTAATGGACATGTCTTGCTGGGGTCTCTGTTGTGGTCCTGGCAAAAAGACAGACAGTGTTGCCTGACTTTTGGTGTAAGCCCTGCAGCTGTAAAAGGTTTGTCTCCAGCATCCTGGTTCCACCTAGCTACAGCTGAACAAATTTCATGAGGTAAGGGCATTTGCAAGGTGTCCACAAAGGTCTGGTCTGTAGGTACATGCTTCAAATGCACCTTTGCAGGAAACAGTGGAGGCCAAGGATTGCTTTTGCTCAACTTTCTCTGTAAATCTCTCAAAGCATTTTGTCCTTGTGAAATGCCTTGCTAGTTTTCCAAACCTTCTGCTTGGGCATCTGCAGCATCTGTGAATAGGGCACAAGCTCTCTTACCACTAATGATGCCCTGTAAGAACAAATCAGAAATATTACTTTTCAATCTCTTGTTGGGAGATTGATCATCCCTTATTTGCAGAAATTGATTTTTACCATTCTCCTGTGTAGGAGTTGGGTGGTAGCATCTATTGTGATACAAGGGTCCCAAGTAGTTTATTTGCATTTGGCTATGTATGTTTGAATGTTTAACTCTTTATTTGGGTAAATATGAGTTCCATTGTTTTTATCTGACTATGGATGTCTGCATGGGTGGATAGATTTTTTCTGTGCTGTGGAGATCTAACAGTTACATAAAACCTTTTTATGATCCACTACCACCTCCTTGATGGCCAATTAATAGCTGCAAAGGCATGACTATGTTTGTCCTCAACTATGGCAGTATGTTATAAAGTGGCAATTAAAATATATGCTGTCCCAAAAACCATATAATCTTTTAAGTATGCCTTTTCTGGTATGTGTTTCTTTAGCAAAGAATCCAATTACCCCAAAGCAAAGTCTCCTGTACAGGAGGGGTTCCTACATGGAACAAATCTGTATCATTGCAACGGGTACTTCAATAAATGTATCAACATAGACTAAAATATTTATTCTGGTGTGCCCCCCCTATAATTGCATCAGTTTAACCCCCAGGCATGCAGCTTCAGCAACTCCTGTGCATCTGTAGAGTTGCACTGGTTGGCTCTGTACTTCAAAGTGTTGAGGAAATTCTGCTGCTCCTTCTTGAGCTCCAGAGCTTCTGAGGATTGGTCTTGCTGAGCCTTCTGGACCTTTGCCTTTGGTGCCATGGGAAAAAAATAGAAATCACAGGTTCACACAGAATCTGCACCGTAAGTTGTGGATGGCTGCACAGGATTCATATTCTTTTTGAATTCAGATTTCATTGGAGGAAATTGCAGTATGAAGTTCATGGAGGTAACCCCAACATTGTTATGATATTTTTTGATTTACAACATAAACTGAATTGTTGGACAACTTTATGAAGAAGGATGGTCTCATCAACAAACACTGCATCCATGAAAGTATTGTAGATTCCCTTTATGTGGACCTATCCTTAGATTTTAAAGGGTTGAAAAAGTTGAAAAAAAGTTGAAATTTTCAACTTTTTCAATTAGCCTTTTCCTTTTACTTTAAAGGGAAAACCAGAGTTGAACAAGTTGAAAATTTTCAACTTTTTCAACTTTTTTTCAACCCTATCTGGTTTCATTACATATTTTCTGAGAATCACTAAATGCCCCTGTACAGGAGTAAGTTGTAATATAAACTCCTGGATAGGAGGATGTACATGGAATGAATTTCCACCAAAACCAGATTCCCCTGTACTCCCAGGGCCAATCATCCTGTAGAGGAGATGCATTCCAGAATCTAGGCGCAGCTGGGCAGAATATTCATGGAAACATATCCAATTGGGTTTGGGGTGAAGATTAGAAATGGCTACCAGTCAGAGTTAGTCATACCTAATCACCTCTAGACTGAAATCTATCTCAGACTAACCTTGCAAGCTGCACAGCACAGAAATCTTCAGTGACGAAAATGGGTGAGACTACACAATTCATCTCCATGTCTCTGTGACATCTGGGCTTCCACAGTCTCCTGCACAGGAGGTCCAAGCCTGGGCAGACACAAGACTGAAGGTTGAAGCTTTGTCCATTGAAACCATGCAAATAGCTGATCAATTGAACCAGAAGAAAACTCCTCTACGGGAGTCCCTGCCAATGCTTGCAAAAAAAACAAATATATATATACATATATATATATATTTATATTTATATATATATATATTAATATATATATATATATATATTAATATATTAATATATATATACACATAAATATATATATATATATATATGTGGCATATATCTCCTGCACAGGAGTTTATTTAGTGCTCTGTTGGTCCACACTGTAAGCAGCCTCCTACACAGGAGTTCAGGTCTGACCTTTTTTGACCCTTTACACAGGCCAGGAAGATTGCACACTTTGCTTTGCAAATTTAATCTCTGCTGCCTCCTTCACCTTCCTCCTCATCTGTGCTATCACCTGGCACAGGCACAGGCCCTGCTGGTGCCTTTGGAGGTGGTGGCTTTGGAGCAGCCAATGCATGCATCTTTGGGGCTGGTCGGATAAAGATACCACCGGCAGGAGGCATAGCCATGGGAAGTCCTTGCATCAAAGCTGCCACGAGGTGCTGACTGATGGCACCAGCCATGTAGTTCAGGATCTGGTCATTGCTCATAGTGTCAGGCCTGGGTGGCATAGCCTTGATCGGTGGTGGGGCCAAAGCAAAGGATCCTTCTGGTACAGCTGCTGCCTTTGGAGCTTCTGGTGCAGCCTTTGGAGTTGGTGGTGCTGGCTGGGGCATCCTCCATGGAGCTGTTGGTGGCCTGGCACTGGTTGCCATCCCATAGTTTGCCATGGCATAGTGCTCCTGTTCTTCCAGTGTTCGCCTCATCTGGTTGTATGCAAATTCCTTCACCGGAGGTGCTGCTTTTGCCCAGAGTGGGGCCAAACCAGCAATGAGCCCACTCTTGTATGCAGTTGGTGCAGCCTTTGCTGCCTCAGGTGTTGCAGCTGCTTCTGCAGGGGCTGGAGACCTGGAGGCATAGATACCTTCTTTGGCAGCTAAAGCTTCCTCATAGGTATCAAAGGCTTTCCAGTGGGTTTCCCTGGTCCAAATCCACCACTTCCCTTGTCGCTGAATAGGTGTCCAGGTGTCCACTCCTGTCCGAGGATGTTTTCCCTCTGCAAAGGACTGAGTCCATTGTCTTTGCTTCGCACCCTTGGATCTCTTTGGATTGCCCTGCTTGTCATACCAGCTGCTTCCCTGCCTCCTTTTACGGGCTCCTTCAAGTTGGTCAACTGTTGCTGTTTCCTGGGAATTTTCATTCCCCCAGGATTGCAAACGAGCACCAACATTCTGTGGTGTATCTTGCAGATAACTCTGTCTGCATCCTGGGTTCAAGCAAACTCCCTGCCTCAGGTAGGAGACTGTGTTGCAAACCCGGCAGAGTTGAAGATACTGGCCATCAGAACCTTCTGCTGCAGCAGCTGCCTCTGGAGCAGCAGGTGCAACAGGAGGAGCAGCAGGAATTCCTGGAGGAGCTTCCAATGACATAGCTAGAGCTAATGCTAAGTCAACACCATCTGCAAAATCCTCCTGGCTCACATGAGCATCTGTTCTGCTCTGGTTTGCTCCCATGGCGGCGAAGCTTGGTGAAACAAAAACAGATTTGCTTGACAGCTGCAGTGGACATGCACACATGAAACTATAACATTTTGACACACACATTGCCAAAAACATAACCTAGGAGTGTTTGTGTACCAACAACAATCCCACACAGGAGATTTACCTTAGAAATGCTTATGTACCAGCAGCACAGGAGATTTACCTTAGAAGTGTTTGTGTACCAAACAACAATCCTACACAGGAGTTTTACCTTAAAACTTTGACCACACTCCCAAAACCTAACAAAAATGAGGTCCAGACTGATAGGTCGCAGTTGGCATGCAATCTCCACCACAGGAGGAATCTCCACCACAGGAGGAAATAGAAGTTTCCTGGGATCAAGGCTGCTGCAGCCCTAACTAAAAAGACATTAACATTATACCTCCTGCACAGGAGACCATATAACTATAGGTTTGAGAAGAACTAATTAATCTCCTCCACAGGAGCAAGTTGCACCCACACACACCCAAGAAGTACTGCTTTTCAAATTGCAAAAACTTGCAGAAAGCATTTCCTTAAAATGGGTTGTGGCCATGGCCATCTGCAGTGGGGCGACTGCTGATCAGAATCATTTCCTTCAAGAACTCCTCTTGCTCCTTGATCTGCTGCTCTGTGGTCATACTGAAGAAGCCTATGGATGGAGGTCTGGGCAATTTTTTTCTCAAACCTTCTGGTGAAGCACCATTGCTTTTGCGAGACATGCCTTCAAGTAGGCAGACAAATTTGGTAGCATTTGAGCCAAATCCTACAATGATAACCATGATGATTGCACTTCATCCAAACATCTCCTACACAGGAGCTGTATGATCCTTGCAGCTATATATTCATGCTTAAAAGTGCCAAAAGTACATTGCTTAAATAAGCTATATTCAAAGTTAAATTTAAGCAATGTTGTAAAAAAGTCAATATTATCTATTTAAGGCATATTGCTTAAATAAGCTATATTGGAGATCCAGGGACCATCCACGCCCAGTGTTCCCTGCCGGACCTCAACCGCGAGTATCCACGCCAAGTGTTCCCTGCCGGACCTCATGTAGGAAGATAAAATGTCAGATAGAGTGCCAGAAGATTTGCCAGGTAGAATGCCAGAAAATATGCCAGAAGATATGCCAGATAGATATGCCAGAAGATATGCCAGATAGAATGCCAGATAGAATGCCAGAAGATATGTCAGATAGAATGCCAGAAGATATGCCAGATAGAATGCCAGAAGTTTTGCCAGATAGAATGCCAGAAGATATGCCAGAAGATATGTCAGATAGAATGCCAGAAGATATGCCAGATAGAATGCCAGAAGTTTTGCCAGATAGAATGCCAGAAGATATGCCAGAAGATATGCCAGATAGAATGCCAAATAGAATGTCAGAAGATATGTCAGATAGAATGCCAGAAGATGTGCCAGTAAGAACATGTATAAATGTCATGGTGGGGATCACACGAAGTAAAGTAATTTCTTTTTTTCGATTTGGAGGGACGGGTATGCCCCTGAAAGAAAAATATTGGTATTTAACCAGTGCAATTTTGAGATGATTTTCCCGGCTGGAACATGCTGGTTTCTTGCTTCTTTGTTGGTTCCGTGAATTGCCTGAAGTGTAAATTAGAAATGGATCAACACTAGAAGTGGATCAACATCAGGATGAGTTCATCAACAATATAACCTCAGTGTGTTGTAAATTAGAAGTGGATCAACATTAGGCACCTCAATGTTTATTCTTAGCGTGAACAGTTTAGTGTGTCCATCGGCACCCCATAGTGATTGTTTTGCCATAGATGGGCATGGTTCAGAAATTCGGCAGCACTGGACACACAAGTTTTGTCATGTCTATGTAGTAAACCATCTAAAAAAATAAGAAAATAAGTCCAATAAACATGTATATCATGTCTAACCACACCTCTTTTCTACTCCTATGTTCGGCACGCACGATGTATATAGAAATACATGGTTTCCCTCATCTTTTGGGGGTTCAGAAATTCGACCAGAATCCGACCAGACGTGAGACGATCGAGTTTGTGGAATCGTTTGTACTGTGGTAAGAAAGAAACACATATTCAATTTTAACATGTTTATGTCTCTATTATTTGGATTGTAGATATTTAGAATTATAATATATATATATTTAGATGGAAAAAACTATTTAGAATCTTGTGTGCTTTGAAGTTTGTGATATGTATATAATTATAATTATAATATATATATATATATATAGATATATATATATATAATTTTTGACTTGTTTGAAATAGTAATTGCAGAATCCCATCCTCCGGTCATATTGAAGAACTCCCCAGAAACCATTTAGGACTTCTGAAAAACTCCATTATCCCTTAAGAATATCACATTTACTGTAAGTGTTTATTTCCACTATATCAAAACCCTACAATGTGGGGCCCCCCAGTGATGTTTGTTGGTTTATAAACCCCCATAGCTATAGTTATTTGCGTACCATAAACCATAGTTATTGGAGTTATTTGCACCAACTTAGCTATCTAATGGGGGCCCCACATTGTAAGATAAACCCATAAAATTAAGTCCCATGAGATCCACCTGAAATTTCCCATTGATTCTCAGCCACCAGGCTCATGTGCACGGCGCTTCTTCAGTGCAATCCGAAGAGGGCAATCCACACCGCGGCATGGCAGAAATCATCGGGTCAACCGAAAATGAATGGGCATTATACATTCTAGGTCAATCTTAGATGGGTACTTTAATCCTAACTAGTCTTTTGGTATGGGAATATCTATACTAACCAGCAAAGAATTTAATTTTTTGCAGGGTATCTAAGATTGGCAATGTATATACTATAGAAATATATGGAAATGGAAATTGAGTTCCCAGTACCATACCATACAACGGATAATCTATATTTTTAGGAGTCCCATTTATAAATTGGTTAACAAAAACCATAGGAATAGTATAGATATATCTACCATAAACCAGAGTGAAATTGGAGTTATAAACGCACCAACTTAGCTTGCCATGGGGCACCATCTTGTATATGGTGGTTTCTTGAAATTGGGGGAATCCCCAGTCGTCACCATAGGTTTAATACTAAAAAATAGGTTTAATACTAAAAAATGGTCTAATGACTTGGATCATTTGGGGTAGCCCCAGCAAACCTCCATATTACTAATCCATATTGATCAAGTATGATATACACATATGTGATGTACTATACAATTCTTTAGAATACTCTATTATAGTATATATATAATATATACTATAGAAATATTTGGACATTGAAATGATTTCCGAGTACCATACTCGTACCATACAATGGATAATCTATAATTTTTAGGATTCCCATTTTGCGGAGAAATGGATGGAAATTAGCCAGGCTGGACCGAAGAGTAAGTCAACTTTGAGATTTGATGAAAGTTTTGATTGATCATGATTTACTGGTTGGTGGTTTGGAACATGTTTTATTTGTCCATTCAGTTGGGAATAATAAGCCCAACTGACTAATATTGTTCAGAGGGGTTGAAACCACCAACCAGTTTATGAAATGTGTCTAGTACATTCCAAACGGAGATTGAAGCACCAACAGAATAGCCCTAATGGTGCAAAGACAGGATCCACATCGAAAACTTGAAGCATTTCAGGCCATGTTTCTTTTTTTTAGACACTTCATGGTTTCGACATTCAACAGAAGTCTTAACGTTTGTTGGCTCTTTCCACCATCCCTTTCTACTGGTTGTCTTGCTGTATCAATCTGTATCATGTTTTTTTCTTTTCAGTTTATAGTTTATCTTCCTGTCCGTCGGCGGTATCCTTTTTTTTGGAAATTTCAAACAAATTAGCATGTTGTGCCAGCGAATGCAATCTTTGGCATATAGTTTGTCGTTGCTCTAGTTTTGCGCACAACATGATGAATCCCCTATATATTCAACAGGATTGGGAGTCACTTCCGGAAAAGTGATAGTTATGGCTGCTAAAACAGGTTGCCCCTCAGTTTCTTACAAACCAGTAGCTTCTAAATCCGAGATTGATACTAGAATTATTGATTTTTGGCTGGCTTCATTTCCACATTCATGAATTTACCTTCTTGCTATCCCCCAATGCTTGCTGGATGAGCAGTTGAATCATGTTGAAACCATGCAGCTGGGCGGCTGGCAACCGCTGATCAGAGCGTCCCTGTTGAAATGACTCTTCAAATGGGGTCGAGTGTTTTCAAACCTTGTATCCATAATATATGTATATATATATATATGTGTGTCAAAGGGAACTAAACGCTAGGACATACATCATGTGCAAGTATAACTGCACATCGAAACGCCGTACTGGCTCAAGTCCCTGCGCGAGGAAAAAGTCCGAGCTCTGCTTGCCATGCTGTATCGCTGTCCGGAACTACCAGCATAACAGGTATCGCAATTCAGTAACCACATCCAGAACAAGGATTCATTTGTTCACAGGTTATCAGCCGTAGGGCTCACTTCTCCCGTCGGGAGAGTGGTACCTGCGTGCTGGTAGCCGGGCCTTCTGAGCAATTGATTGAGGACGCAAAGGACCAATCAGCTCATCATCGCAAAGATGCAAGGCGGCAGCGGAGATTCGCGCACCACGCAGTTTACCTTCAATGAGAACACTGCTATGCCGGTCGAGGAGGTCAATCAATCTTCCCCTGGCGACACGGCAGACAGTGGTGGGATACGCTCTACCCGAACTACACAGTCCGGATGGCAAGTTACATCAAACAGACGAAGAATATCCACCCAAAGTACACCAAGATCTTCTCGAAACAGTGCTCGAAGTGATGTTGTCCGCCAAGGGCATCGACCATCTCGAGGACGAACTACTCCAAGGGACAGATCCACCAGGGCCGTGACCGACCGAATTGGTGAGAGGACCGGGGATAGTCGTGTTAAGAGGAGATCAACGGATACTTCTGTGGCTAGTGAACCTATTGCCATGATAGAAGAACTACGGGCACAATGTCAATCCCTACGTAATCAGTTGAACCACATGGAAGCATACGCTGCATCTAGAGATCAACTGATTCATGACATCGAGATCAGATTCACTGAGTATCTTCAGGAACACAACCAGAATGTATTTGATGAGGTCAATGCACTCAATCATAGATTGTCATGTTCCGCAAATGAGGTTGCAGAATATCAAGCAGAACTAATGGTAGCATCTCAGGAAGACGAAGGTGCAACAATACGCATCCAAGACCTTGAACGCCGAGGTGCCCTAATGGAGCATGGTGCAAGACGGATCCATCAACGTGGCATGGAGATCCAGGAAGAGTACAAGGATGAAGTACATCACCTTCAAGGACTATTGGGTAATAAGGAGGCAAGACTGCAACAACTTCATCAAACCAATGTCTTAACCACCGATATTGCCAATCGACTATACAACGAAGGTCAAGAAATGCAGACAGATTTCCAGAACTCAATCATGGAATATCGTAATCGATCCGAAATGGCATCCTTCTCCAGCAATCAACTTGAAGTGATTAGCCAACAACAATCAATTGCAGTTCATGAATTATCTGAACGGAATCAGCTATTGAGTGAAGCTTTAGTTCAGTCTCGTAAACAGGCCGAGCTGTATGAAAGCAGTATTGACGAGATCACTAGAGAATCTAGAAAGAAGGTTTTCGAGGCAAATCAGGCCAAATTGGAAAGTGATCTGAAGCATCGAAATACTGAACATGATACTGTCAGAAGAATTGCATCATACAGGAACCATGAGGTCGAAGCGATATCACACCTGAGGCTTGAATCACAGGCTAGTGCAAATTCGATCGCAAGGGCAGAGCACTATGAAGAGCTCTACACCAACGAGCAGGAGATGAACTGCGAACTAAAGGATGAGATCAAGTTGCAGAACATGAAGTTGCGAAGATCGCTGACTCAGGGCACTACGACCGACGGTCGTGGCCCCGATGAGATGCTTGTTGAAGATCTACGTAATCAAGCCAAAATCGCTCAAATCAGGGTTCAAGATCTAGATCATGAAGTTCATGAATGTTTACAAGAGAACATGTTGTTAAAAGAAAGATTGGCTGAAGTTGCGGATGTAGGGGCGTCGTCCTTCTCCAATGCTGAGGTCCGAACTTTAAGATCTGAACTAGAAAGTGAGCGCAAAATGAAATTGGCTAGTGGTGTTCAACAATATGAGAGATCATGCGTGTTCATGGGGGAAATTCAGGATAGGGATGAAAAGATTGGTATCAAGAATTCTGAGATTATTGACATGAAACGTCACTTAGATGAACTGAGAAAGAGTCTCAAGGATTCTGAAACTTCTATATCTAGGGTCAGCCCTGATACACTTCCCTATTCGGCAGGCATCCCCAACTATGATCTCGCATCAAGACTGGTCATCGACAAACTGGAGAATGACGTGAGTGAGGCTAACTCTGAGAACGCTATTCTAAAATCTTGGGTTTCGCAGATCGACAAGGAGTTGACCTATGAGACAAATATGGCTCATTCCTATCGTGGACATGCTGGACCTTCTCAACAACAACCTTCTCAATCGAACAAAAGAAACACTGATCTGCTGAAAGAGGTTGACAACAAGATCGCTGATGGAACTGAGAGGGACTACTACAAGCCTCCGAGCGGATGGGGCGGTCCGCCTGACCCTGATGGACCTCCTGACCCTTTCGGGCCTAACGGTCCAGGACCACCTCCAGAACCTCCTGGTTTGCCTTCAGTTCGAGGATCACAACGCGATTCAGCAGATGACGTCTCCACAGCGGCTTACACGGCAGAAGAAGTACCGAGAATGTCAAGACGGGAGGCTGACAAAGTCTATGTTAGCCCATGGCCGAAGCAACAGAATCTTGGGGTTTGGCAATCAGATCTCATCAAGAGTGTTGTTCTTGCTGCAAATGATGGAGACAAAGCCGCATGGGAAGCATGGCTACAGCCGGCTATTCGACCAAATCCTGACATCGAGCTATTGAATGACAGTGGAGGGCAACGATATCAGTCAATCGATGCCAAGTTGTCAATTGCATTGTCAAACGTGATAGCCCAAGCCGGTGATGTTGCTCGTCATGTAGCAATCAAACTGAGATTGAGAACACAGAGTCATAGCCGAAGAGGAACCTACGTTATGGGACGGGAAATCTTGGCTATGATCCTGGAACACTTCAGAACCCCAGGTCAACGAGAGACAGCCTTCACCATGGAGCACATCGTATCGATGAAATATCTCGGTGACTCAAACCTGGAAGTGTTCTACGAGAAATGGATGGAGATGGTATCAAACATGATGCCGGATGATGTACCTCCTGATGATTGGCTTCGTGATGCTCTATATAAGAAGATTCGAAATTCGAGTCTTATGATGTTTGACATCAAGCAGTACGAGTCATGGATTGAAGGAGACCAAAGACGAAGCTATCGCTATCTGTTGGACGTCATCGAAAGGCACATCTCCAGAATCAGAGAAGACAAGCATGTGGCCGCTAGGGAGAAGTATGCAAGAGACTTTGCAGGTGGCGGCAAACCTACGACTCCTGCCCCAAATCCAACTGCTGCTGCACCAGACGCCAATCCGAAAGCGAAGCCTAAAGCTACTCCCAAGGAGAAGGCAGCACCCAAGGCGAAGGCCAAGGCCGATGCAGCTCCAGTTCTACCATCACCTCAACCGAAACAACATGCAAAAG